AAATCAAACAGACGGACAATAGTCCGAAAAAAGTATAAAAACTCAAATTTGCAACAAAAAAAAACAGGTCTTAGCAAGACTAAAACTACAAGCCTTTGCCGTCTCAAGCAGCTGAGTTACCTCTACGTCTGATGCACCGGATGGTTGCTTGAAATTAAATTAAAATCATCAAGTGGTAATAAAGCCGAAAATACCTGAGAGAGACCACTTCATGCAAAAAAAATACTTATCTGCCTTATGAAATTTTTAAGTCCTCTTTTTCCTCAGAACACACACATACACGCACAGAAAACTTTTTCCGGTCATAAAACGACGCAACTAGATGCCACTTTAAAGAAGACACGACCTATAAAGCCAAAACGAGTTGATAAAATTACAACCAACATAAAGGCGAATTTCGATTGAGTCAAATATTTAAAATGCTAACAAGCTCAACTTATGTCTGTTGCAACATAGAGGTCCAGTAGACGAATGAGTCCAGCAGATGAGTCCTGTGAACAAATTTATCTACAGTAAGAGTCTAATAACTGATTGCAACATCGATGCTTATCGCAAGGATAATTATATCAATTATTTGTTATTTGAACCAAAAAAAAACATTTGAAAAGAAACTGCTTGAAAAGCGTAAAGGGTGATAAGAATTGCAGTTAAAAAACGGAAAAAACAGAAATTAGGATTAAAACCACAAATCTAAAAAAAATCAACTCGTTTTCAATAATTATCATTGAAAAAAGCAACAGAGGCAAAGCTGAGCTTCGCATAACTTGCACTACAAATCAAGAAAGCCGCTAAGTCAGAAAAAATTCGAAAATGTCGGAAAAAAATAGATCTATCAAAAACATCAGGCTAGTTTTGAAAGTGATGTGAAATTAGCATCTGAAAAAAATATCAAACGGTAATGAAGCCGAAAATACCTTAGCCGTAATCTTCTAAGTCAAGACTTAAGACTTATAGAAATTTATCAGGTCGCACTCACCCGCAAAAAAAACACTTAAACACAACACTGTATTTGCTCGTCAAATGAAACCGAATGAGGTCATTAAGACAAAATAATATAGGCCGAAACCTATTCAAACGAAAAAAAAATTAACCAGCGGCTAAGCTTAGCTTCGCACCACTTGCCATACAACAAGTATTGGATTAAAACTGCAAGACACTCAAGATCTATCAAATAGGACTTCGAATATTGTAAGCATAGAAACAAAGTTATTTTGTTGGACAAGTTGCTTACAAGAATAGGTATATGAACCGAATTGATAAGCTTGCTAATTGCGAGCAAAAAAATCACATATGTACTATTCAGTGCACATTAATGAACGGAGCAAACAAATTCAAACAATTTTTAGAAGTTATATTTAAAAAAAAAATTCAAAAAAAAACTAAAATCCCCAAAATATCTGTTAATACAATTACCTCCCCACAAATAGGGCTTTAGAAATAGGGCATTCAGAAAATTTGAAGAAAGCTGAACCTTTTTGTAGGCTTAGTTCCCGTTGCATGGGCTCTTTTTGAAGGTTCAATTTTCTTCCAAATTCCTGAATGCCACTTCTACAGCCCTACTGATAATTGAATTGGAAGGTATTATGCGGATTTTCATTTTATGAAAACATTTTAAAACATTTTTCAATGGATTTTTTTTTACAAAAATAGTTTGATTTTTTTGCTCCATGCACTGAAATATTACATATGCGATGTTTATGCTCGCAATTAGCAAGCTTTATCAATTAGGAAGATGCATCAAAAAAAAATTTTTGTTTTATTATATTTCAAAAAAAAACTAAAAAACGCATAATACATTTTAACTCAAAGAACTCCACCAATAGCGCTTCAGAAATGGTATTCAAAAAATAAGGAGAAAAGTGAACATTCAAAAAGAGCCTATGCTACGGGAACTAAGCCGACAGAAATAAACACGTACGATATTCCGATAAACGAGAAAACTTGTTTAAAGAAAAACAGGTTCCGATCGGATTCGAAGCACAAGCCGTTTTCGTCTCAAGCAGGAGTTTAACTTCTACGCCATATACGCTGGATGGTTCATTGATTTTGAATTTATGATGAAGCAAGATTAAGCATCTGAAAAATCTAGTGAACAAAGTTGTTTACGGGGAAAAAGGTCTTGCAACCCGTTGCAATACCCTTGCTTGTTCCGAAGGTAATAAAAAAAATTTTATTAAGGAATGTCATTTTAATTAAGGTTAATTTTATACAATTCCAGCAAAAACAACATAAAAAGAAAATACTGATAGAAAACTATACAACAATTTTCTATCAGTATTTAGAAAGCTCCGCACCACTCCCAATACAACAAAAACATCCAAGCTTTCCATGCATCCAACAATCGAATTTAAAGAAAAAGATGCCCTTAATACTCAAAATTATTACGGGAAAAAGTCTAGAACCCAATTGCACTACCCTTGATTAACATCAAGATATAACCTCTCGAAAATAAAGCCGACCAAACTCCAGCGCCAAAAATCTACCGAAAAGTTTTGGTACGGAAAAAACTGATCATGCAATAACGCTTAACGTGTACCTACGGCAGATATGAAACAAAAACACTTAACATGCTATTACCTTAGCAGTTGATGAAAAATATTATACTGATTACCATTTCGTCCATTCTCCGAGCTAAGGTCATCAAGTCAAAAAAGTCTTATAACTGGTTGCAGCACCCTTGCTTATCACTAAGGTAGTTATACAAAAGCACTGGTGCTGGAAATATGGTACAGTTTGATAACACATGGGAAAAAAAACTCGGTTCTTAAACCCTTTGCTCTCGCAACAGAAAATACGTTTGCTTAGCATTGTAAAATTACCGAAAAATCAATCAAAACATTTGGTATTTCTGAATTCTTGTTTATCAAATTTTACAGTATCAATGAACTTCGTCTATTAAAAAAAACAGAAGCGAAGCGGAGCTTCGCACCACTTTCGATACAACACCAACAGCAAAAATAAAAACAATTCGAAAAAAAATTAAAACTAGGTGAACCAAAAATTTTGGTATGTCTCGATAAAAGACAACTAGGGGATCAGCCTAAACTGGATTTTGAATTTATTACTTTGATGTGATGTGGGACAAAATGCGTTATTTAAAAAATTGGCTAAAACCTTAAGAGTTTCTCTTCTAAAATAAGTGACACAGAGGCGAAGCTGCACTTCCCAAACACTAACGAGAACACGCCAAAAAAGCTGAAAGTTAAATAAGAAAAAGTAGAAATAAGCCTCAAAATAATGCACATTCGGCTCCGTGTCGGACTCAATCCTGCGACCTGGAGATTTTGAGTGTCACGCACTAGCCACTCAGCGACAGACGCTTAACTATTATCAAACACTAGCCAGAAGTAAAGCAGAGAACAGATGCTAAGAAAATTGCAATGCCACAGATTTGAAGGCCATAAATTGTCTTCTAAAAAAATGGAAGTGACAGATTATTCAAGTCGGCTTTTAACAACCTGCTGTTTCGATTAACTCTTTAAAATCAGAATTGGCAGGATAGTTATCGAGAAAAGTATTTAAAAAATTTCCAACAGACGGCCCCACAAAACAAAAAATTTGATTTTTACGAGAATTACAACTTTTTTAAGTGAAGAAAAAATCGGTCTAGTTGTTTATGCAAAAGAGATTCACTCAACCTGTGATTTCGAATGAAGCCTGAAACTCAGATATGGGAGGGCAGTTCTCGAGAAAAGTCCAAAAAGTTTCTAGAAGAGGTCAAAAAATAAAAACTTTGATTTTCCGAAGGTCATAACTTTTTAGGCCATAACATTTGGCAAAATTGTGTAATGGAATGAGCATCCCAGAATCCATTCTTTGGCTTGAATAGAAAATCTCAGACAGGGGAGGGTAGTTTCCGGGAAAATTCAAAAAGTTTTCTAAAAAATGTCACAAAATCAAAAATTTGACATTTCAGAGTACAATGACTTTTTATATCAAAAAAGTGTGTGAAATACTGCTAATTCAGGCGGACTTTATTTCCATTGAACTCACAGTCTGAGACTTGGGAGGTTACTTTTCGAGAAAAGTCAAAAAGATTCAAAAGATTTTGGCGTAGCCGCTCATGCAGGGATTTTTTCGAAGCTGTTTTCTTCATTCCCCACAAACTTTTTCGAAGGCTGTAGACAGAGTTGTGAAGAAATAAGAAGAGACTAGAAAAGTATTCACGTACGCAGGGGATTAGCCGATCTTTGCGCTGATTTTAGCAATTTTTAGCAAATCGACAGAATAGTTTTTGAGAAAAAAAAACTAAAATTTATGCAAAAAGTGAACAAAATTTTCCAAAGCGTCTCAAAAAAAAATACAAATTCCATTCCTATACACTTTCATAACACCTGTTTTTATCAAAATGAATTCTAGGAAAACATGCATAGCACATTTATGTTTTAAGTAAAAGAAAGAAAGCAACGAAAAAAAAACGGAAAGAACGCAAGTGAAAGAAAGCAACAGAAGAAAACTTACGAAGCGGTAACAGCCAATCTTAGGGCAGTTGATCCGAAAAAGAATTTATAAAAATCTTCTAGAAGTCTCAGTGGTCCCTGAAAGTTCATGAAAAACTCTTGCAACTACCACGATACTTGCTCACATCACAAGAAAAATCCGTGATATGGCAAGTAAGTAGACAAAACTTGAGCAGATGAACGAAAGTCCGACAAATCAATTTCTACAGCAAAAAAAAATTTCAATTGTATTTCAAATAAAAATTCCGGTGTGATTCGAGCCACCGGTCTCAGGGTGCAAAGGTGCCGAAGTTGTCTCTATGCCAATTGCTAAGGAACCTGGAAGCTATTAAGATTCAATAACAAAGAATGTTGAAAATAGGTAAGAAAACTTGTTAACGGGAAAAGTCTTGATCACGATTAAAGACACTTTCTTTCACAAACATTCACCGATAGCCAAACGTTTCCGTTATTTTCCTCATAACACCACATAGGACTAGTATTTTAAAACCATTGATGTCATCCATTCTTAAGCATGTTATATCGTTCTGACTAAAAGCATGAAACAGAAACAATAAATTAAACGCATTTTAAAATCATATATCAAAAGGAGCCAATAATACAACAATTTGTAAACTATACAAAGCACGTATGGATGTGTGGAAGATTTTTTTCCTTAAGCTAGCTATTGAATAGGCCAATTGCGGGGACAGATCAGTGATGCATGGGACTGCTGATGTATTCCCTCAGCTGAAGTCGCAGTAGAAGACAGCCGTTCCGTACAGACATTCGACTCTAGCGGTCAAAAAAGAGGAAGTCATGTTTCAAGCCTGGTACAGTACAGTATTAGTATTTCTTATTATGATTAACCTCACTTTCTCTTTGTTCTACTGCAATTCAATGCAGTCGCATATGTAATCTAACTCGGTTGATGCAAGCAGATGCAACTTGCACAACAAAACAGCGCTGCTTAATTTCCTTAATCCATTCTAGGTCGTAAACCACGCACAGTCATCTCATTGCAACAACCGAGATTGCGCAAAACACCACAGGGAATGTACTTTCGCCGCCCCACTTTACAATGATGGCTGTTGGTTGAATCAAAATCGTAATAAATTTAATACATTTCTATACATCTTAACAAATAACAAAATGACCATAACGTCGCCTATCAAAATAAAATTTCTAGCACACCACTGATCTACAACTCAGTATATGTTACATTAACTGAGAATATGAAATAGACGGATAGGAGGGGAAAAGGTTCTATCAATTGTCAATTTTTTTCACTATCACATCTAACATTCCAGCTGCTACGAAGAATTTGATGAGTTTTGATTTAGTAATTGCGCGTAGATTGCTGCTAATTGTTGTTGCTGATGTGATGCTGCTGCCGCAACACCCGGGTTGAATAGATGCGATGCGGAAAGCAACGGGCTGAGTCCTGTCTGGCCCAACAAGCTAGGGTGATGATGGCCCAATGTGGGTATACCCGCAAGAGGCAGATGGTTATTCAAGTTCATAAAAGGCAGCTGCGCTCCCGCTGCTTGAAAATTCAAATTTGCAGCATTAAGCAACGGATTAAATGAGTTTAATTGTTGAAGGAACATATTATGAGTTCCTAAATGGGATGCCGCAGGGTTATGAAGAAACTGAAGTTGACTGGTAGGCACGTAAATTAACTGCGGTTGTTGCTGTTGTTGCATATAATGCGTGGCTGCTGGAGAAACTGTATACTGCTGTTGCTGCTGCGGCTGATGATGGACCAAACTCTGATTTTGTATCGAAAATGATTCATGCTCGGATGTTCCGACGTAGCTTCCCGTCGGAGTTGCAGCACCTTCCATACCAGCACCAGGTTGTACGGAATTGGACCCATTTGACCTTTCATCATCCCTGCCATCTATAGACTTCTCTTTTTTCTGAATATGATTATTTAGTCTGCTCATCAGATCGGAATACTTTTCTTTCATTTCTTCGGGAATATTTTCAGGTAAAGCGTTCTTTTCTTCTATCGGACCATTAGGCATGTCCTCCTCAACGTTCACACCAAGTTTACTAGTATGCGCAATGAACTCGTCAATTCCATTAGGCTTTGGCAGCTGCGGCCCAATAATAACAGGTTGTTCTGATACAGTGTCAGGGTTTTCCTTGGGCTCAACACTATTTGAATTGCTCGGTAAGGATGCGTTACTAGTATTCATGGCAGGGACTTCATTGGTGATATGTTTCCCGGCATTTTGACCACTTCGAGTGGTTGCTTCATTGGAGTCGGAATTCCTTCTATTTGAGTCAGAACCAGATCCAATATCAAGGGTTCCAAAACTCTTCGGACCAAGGCCTGACCCTAGCTTTGGAGGCAAACTAACTCCTGGTGTTTGTTGAGTTTGCTTAAGCCCAGCATTCTGTTGCTGCTGAAACTTCGGATTTCTTGGAACCATAGGAGGGTTTGGGGCCCTAGTAATCCTTCGCTTCTTATTCCGCTTTCTCCGTTTGCGCTTTGGAGGCTGGCCACGGACGTGACGTCTGGATATTCTATCTTCATCTGAATATGAGCTACTCCTCGATCTCCTGCGATGTCTCCGTCTGCTTGAAGACCTCTTGCTTCGTCTTCGATGGCGGCTACGCCTGTAAGACGAAGATCTGCTTCTTGACCTTGACGAATACGAATCCGAAGAGCTACCCGAACTTCGGCTGTGTGAAGATCTACTGCGACTAGTACTGTATGAGTAGCTTATGCTTCTAGAAGATCTAGATCTAGACCTTGAAGAACTCCCACTTCTCGAATAGCTTCTGGAACTTGACCTGCTTCTGCTCTGGCTCTTTTTACTTTTCTTCAATTTCTGCTTCTTGCTTTTACTTCTTGATCGACTTTTTACTTTGTCTTTTATGCCTTCGGCAACGTTTACAGCATCTGCAACCTGTTCACCTTGATTCTCAGCCTTTTCAGCCTCCACGACAGACTTTCCAACAAGGTCACCAGTAGTTTTTAAAGAAGCTCCAATCGTGTTTGTAATATTGGTTTCCGATTTGCTAGCAATGACAGATTCTAAAACTTGCGGAGAGTGAACTGCAGATACGAACTTTTTCTGCGGAGGGAGTTTCACTTTCGGTATAGTGTGTTTTTTCTCCTCGTCTTGTTCATTGAAAACTGCTGGTTTCGGAACGCTGTGGTTCTGCGATTTCATTGTGAACGATACTGACTCTTCGCTATTCATAGTTGAATTGTTGCTAGTTTTGCTGTTTGATGAAATTGACAGCTTATGTTTTCTGTTCTTGCTGTACGCCTCCTGTCTAGATGTCTTTGGGAAAATGATTCCCGTTTCTGGTTCATCGCTTTCTTCGCTCTCGTAGTAGCTCACAATACCCTTCAAATCGGCTGATGCTCCTGGACTGCTTTTGTTTCCTGTTGAGTTTTTGTCCGTTTTGGAACTTGATCCAGATCCATTTTTCGAAGTTGATGGTTTCCTCTTAGAAGAAGATGATGAACTTGAAGAACCTTCTTTCGGGGTGTGTTTCTTCGGTTCTACTTTTGGTTTTTTGATCACGCGACCTTTCCAGACATCCTTGCCAACCAGACGGTTAGTCGTGGGCGCAGCTGCCGTTTCCGAGTCTGAATCATACTCAACTGCGATCTGGTTCTTGGACCACAGTTGGATGGGTTTGGCAGGTGGTTCCTCGCTAAAAACAAACACCTGTTAATGACAGAGGCATTCAGTACGCAGTATGTGTCGCAGAAACACCTGGCTGAACAAAAAGAATTGATGAAAATTTCAATAAACTCTCAAGATCTATTCTTGCAACATGCAATACTCTTATACATAGTAATCCACAATACAGTACAGTACAATCTAAGATCGGATTGGATAATAAGAATAATGGTTCGAATTTGCTGCCATGGGGATAAAGTATACATTACATCACTTAAGCACAACTTGTTCCCGTGTGCTTCGTTTCCCCCTACCCTCGGCCGCCTTTGTTTTGCGCGAGGCAAAGCACGACACGAAGACGCCAAAGCGAGTTGATTCAGAACATGCGTTTGTTATAGCTACTGAAATCATATACACAAGGATCAATTCTTATCCCTCTTAACTTACTTTTCCTTCCCATTAAATTTATGGATTTCTTCATTAAAATGCAGTGAGAAAAATGAGTTTAAAAACAGATTTCTATTAAAAACTGCAGGGACTTCAATAAGATTGAGCATGAAAAAGCGTTTTTATAAACATCTCCCAGGGATATTAATTCTCATTGCTTTTAGCTAGACAAAAACAATGGCCCCTCTTTCCAATTCTAATTAAAATCCTTGAGTTTGAATCCCAGCCTTAGATCCAAGCTTTCGCATCCCATTAGATGGGGATCTCTTCCCATAGAAATCAATCACCATAACATTAATGCGACATGACAGCATTACTTCCTCGTGTCTGGTTTGAAAAAGTACTATTTCAGCCGGCTTTCTATGAATGATTCTTTTTCTGTTTTTATTTCTTGTTATTGTAAACAGCCAACAGACAGCTTGAAAAGAGTCAGTAAACGCAAGTAAAAAAATACTGACTAGTTATTTTGAAAAAAATCTCAACTTCGGATTTTCCGAGAAACAAAAATAGATGGCCTTAAAGCTCCTTGAATTTCCAGAACAATTTATAAAAGACACTTTGTTGAAAAAACTATTCCAATTTGAGAAAACTGGATCAAATTTTTATTTGGCTGAGAAATCTGATAATTAAAATCCATTTTCGAAATAAGAAGTAATCACGTTTTTCGTGACCTTTACATTTTCGCTGTTCGATATTAAAAGACAAACCGCGAAAAAGTAAGATTGAGCCTGAACATATTTCAGGACTTTTACCGACAAAAAATCATCGACCTATTTAAGAGTCTGAAGTACGTCCTTCGACTCTTAAAAATTCTTTAGGTCTTGCTTTAGGTTCATTCCAATTGTTCATATCCTATCCCTGTGATAACAGCAAAAAACGACAACGACAGCAAATGACAACATAGCTCACTAACGGACATTTGCTAAGGGCGGGGGTGCGATGTTTTATTGAAGGTATTGTTGCTGAAAAGCAGGGGGGTCTGTAAAATGGATACGCATTTTGCATGTCGAATTCGAAATATTAGAGTGGTGTGTTAAGAGCTGCTGAATTTCACTTGGTGTTGGTTTGTTTTGGTTAATGTAGTATAGATCAAAGCAGAGAACTAGAGAGCAATATAAATGTAAGACACAGCAAAAGATACGAGGAGGATTCATCTGTTTTAATAATTAACGATCAAACAAATATATGGTAATCAGACGATATTTTGTAGCTCGAAACATTATTTACCGGTGGCATGGTATATTATAATATTGTATAGTATAAATAGCTGATAAAACCAGGCGATACGTACTTACACTGAAGCGAGAAAGGAGGAGGGTGATTCCTTGGCCTCTTAAATGACACAAATATACCGTTATCAGCGTTAACCCTAATTATGAAGAATATATGCACACAATTATGTTAGTGGGGTGAATTCTGAGCTGTCTGCAAAATTTAGATGACATTGTCCAATTCAGTAGTACCTTTGGTTTGGCTCTTCCTTCCTTTGGCTTACCTTGTTGAAATTGGATCGATCGACCACTGTTAAGGAGGAAGGTGTCTAAATTTTAAGTTCACAGAGGAAGCATTATTAATCAAAGCAACTGAACAGAGGGTGAATTGAATGATTGCGAAGAATGCATAGTATAGTATAGTATGGTATAGTATCAGTACTGGCTAAGTCTAGGTCTGTAACTGCTCTGTTCTCTATTGTATCATAGTTATAGACAGGGTGACTAATAAGCCTAACTCGACAACACACTGGCGGTGGTACTATTATACTCTAGCAATGCAGTTACATCACAAGGTAGCATAGTTGCGCAATTGAGGCACAGCACAGCCCAGACCAGTACAATAAATAGTACAGTAGTAGTATACCAGCAGCAGGCGGATAACAATAAGGAGAAGTAAAACTTAGTAAATAGAAGATCGTTGTGAGAACACCAAAAACCGAAATTCCATCAAAACCTACGAGAAGAGCAGTTTACTTGCCTTGCTTTGGTGGTGTGAACAGAAATATTTTTCACTGTTAACAACTGAAAAGAAACTGTCGCAATAATTGATGTGGCAACATAAGGTAGTAGGACCACGGATGGTTGTTAGCAGCTAACATTCAGCCATTTTCACCCGATATGATCACAGGTGAAACGCCTTAAAAGTCTGTTTTAACTTAGAAGTCTACATCAAACTGTATTCACCTTTGAGGGATTTGCAGCTTCGGCAAAGTCACCAGGTCACTTCGTGCGTTGGTTGTCGTTGAGTCACTCTTTGTGTCTATCAAACCAACGCCTGTCATCTTTTCATGCGATGTCGAATCTGTCGACAACCTTTTCGAGGCATCCTACATTAAAAAACACTTCGCATTAGCTTCAAGGCCAACTGCAGGTTGGCGCTGTCTACAAGGTTGTTTATTGCTATGACCACCGATAATTGAAATAATAAATAAATGTTCAGTTCGGGTGTAAACTCAACACTAGAGCAATACAAGCACATGGACATGTTACCTGACCTGAGTGTGAAGCGGGTTCGTGCACTCGCAGGCAGTGGTGCACGCAATTAATGCACTCACTCACCCGGTGCACGGCAGGCCTATTTCAAATTCACGGAAACACGCATGTTTATTCATTAAAGCAATTTTCAAAATAATATAAATTGAAGAAAAGACAATTAGTTTGACCTCTACATACCCAAATCACAAAATAACTCACAATTTGGCACCAATAAAGCATTAAATTTCCTAGTGATTTTTCTCAATTTATCTAATTATTTACACTGAACCTTAAACACAAGTTGGGGGGAAAGGAATATATTTTGAAGACATCAACGCCAAAAATGGATTCGGTTTCGTATTATTGAAAAGCATTTAAAACGAGAACAATGAAAGTGTGACCAAATTATTTCCTTTTCCTTATCACAAACTGGGAGAGAAACTAAGGCATAGGGTGGGTAGTTCTTTTTAACGCAAAGTGAGGAACCTCAAATAAATCTCGTGGGCCATCTAGTGTAGAATCATATTTTTAAAACCTTTGTCCTGATTCGGATTTTTAAGATAAATTTGAAGAAAAAAAGAAACCTAGGTGTCGAGAAAAACTGGTCTTAATTATCCGTTTTCACAAAGTTTACCACCCTCAATCTCTTTGTGGAGATTTTTTTCAAATTTTCAAAAGCTATGTAGGCTAATTTAAACCCTTATTTAAAGCTATCCTTTTATGCAAGAAAACGGCAGATAATTAGGGAAAAGAAAAACGTACACAATCAAAAATAATCATTTTTTGCATTAATCGGCTACTCTTGTTTCCCTTCTTGAATTAAACTAAGACAAATGAGGAAAAAGTACAGCTAAATAATCCTTGTCCGAAAACATTTGTTGCTATGCGACAAGTTGCCTTCATTTTAGCAAAGGAAATGAACTGAACTTCTAAAGAAATCACAATCCAAGCCGCGAAAAATCAAATTTTAGCGTGAAAAAATTATAAGAATTTTTCCTGAATAAAAAACAAACGTCACCAAGACCTGTATAAGAGTATTCACTACGTTCATGGCTCTCAAAGTGGGTTTACTTCTTATATACAAAGATGAACTTTACCTTTTTTGAACAACAGATAAGGTTTTTATATTTATACCCACCTCTTTTTACCTTGCCATGTATATTTTAGCCGGCATTCTATTACTTATCTTAGCTGTTCCGATCAACCTCCTGGCCAGGGATGTTTTTCCCCGTGGAGCATCGAGTGGTTTATCATATTAAAGCTCTTAGTCGTAATTCGGATTGTAAACAGAAATCTTAAAAAACGGACTCGCTTTCAAGAAAACTGGTCTGACTATTTCTTTTTTTTCAGACTTATGTGAGCGAAGGAACATAGAAAATGAATTAGATAACTCTTCCCAGTCTGCATTTTATTTAACCCATTGTAGCCTATTTTTCAGTTTAATTCAATCCATTTTTATGCTCTTAAGAAAAAATGTTGGCTTTTATTACTGTGGTCGGAACTTCTGTATTATTTGCACTGCAACTAGATACTCTTATTTGTTCTTTGCCTAAGAAATGGCTATTGGGCTGCTGAGACGTCATTCTAACCAAAAAGAAAACGCGAGTAAAAATAGGAGCGGTAATGGAAAGCTGTGATTTACAGAAAGCATCAGTGAAATTGACAGGTATCGTAAAAGAACCGCGCTGAAATATCAGCGACTCAAAAACAATAGGTAATGAGATGTGGGGTTAAGCTAAAAAGCAAAAACGAGGATAACCAGATAGTAGACAGTTGGAGAAGAAATACTGATCTCGAGGCCATAACAACGAATTTAAAAAGGATCCCATACAAGGAAGTGAAATAATTTCCTAAATGGCGAAAACAAACAGAACACTTGTTTTGAAACGGAAGCAAACCTGAGCTTCACATAAAACTGGAGTTCCACCAAACCGAAGAAAAGAAAAATGACGAACAAAATAATAACTTCCATATTAGAAAACCTTAACGAAAAAACATCTGCACTATGTTATTTCAGTTAAAACTAACCCATGAAGTATGCCCAAAGATTGAGTGTAAAGTCACGTATCCATATAATTGGTAGTTGTTAAGCTCAATAGCTGTTTTTTTTTGTTCCGAGAAAAACCAAAATAAAAAAAACTAGACCAAAACTCAAAAATTTCAACCGGTTTTTCACAATAGGTGGACAATTTCTTGATTTCGTTCGAATCACGACTGATAGGGTTTTAATTTGATATATCAATCGACCAAAGAAGATTTTCCTGGATTTTTGTTTAATTTCATACTTACGGAGAAATTACATCGTTTTTCTCCATGAGTATGAAATTAAACAAAAATCCGGTAAAATCAAGTTCCGCTTGTACTTCAAGCGCAGAACCTAAGGTGCAAAGGTAACCGCATTACATGTAGACCAAGCAAAAGGGATACTGGTTAATGTTTCAGAACAAAGTAAGTTCAATTTCTTACAGCTTCGTAGGAAAAGTTGTTTACGGGGAAACAGTACAAAAATAGTTTTGAGATTGAAGAGCGAAATTTGAACTCCAATAGGGAACAAATTTGAAGCGCAAAATTTCCAGAGAGACGAAGCTGCACTTCGCTAACAGAAGCGAGAAAACGCACCTTTCATAGGTGAAAAATAGAAATTAGCCTTGAATAATAACACTTTTGCTGTCTCGGATTTGAACCGACGACCTCGACATTAGGATTTTCACTAAGTCAAATCTGCGCTATGGGCCCTCAAAAAACTTCTTACACTAGCCACTAAGAAAGCAACTACATATGCTAATTAACTGCCAATGCAATGCAGGAAAAAGCCATCAAAAATAAAAATAAAGTAAAGTGTAGCGATCACGTCTTTCACTCAGTGCCACGATCACTTGACGATCGGCAAACACTAGCCACCAATAAAGATGAAAACACAATCTATAAAATTTCTAAAACTACAGATCCGGATTAGCTGAAAAGCTATTAAATCAGCGCTCTTATTTGCAACTTTGATCGGAAACAAAAGATGGTCGAAGCTATTAGACTACGCTCGCTGGAAAAAATAGGGCACGGGAAGCAAAAAAGAAAAAGAACAAGATTTAAGAAAAATACACTGAGCCGAAGTAGAGCTTCGCATTTCTTGCGACACCAAAATGTTAAATATTTGAAAAAATGGCTATTTGAAGAAACGCAACATAAATGCTATTTGAAGACTAACATCATCCAATGTACTTTGTATTTAATTTGAAAAAAAGAAAGCTTTTATGAGGAGCCCAATTTTTTGGAACTCAATTGTCTACACTATTACTGGAATAACTCAAAATAAGCTGCAATCATATTAAAAATTCTTGATTCAGAAAAACAGGCATAAGGAAACAAAGCCGGCGAAGCATAAGCAGAGAAACGATAACCGTAGAGGTACCATACGACATAATATTTTCCATTTCCAAAAACTTAAGGCTCGGGATGAATTAAAACCCAAACCTTTGTAAATGCCAAGCATGTGCGTTACCTCTAGATTAGGCTCGAAAAAGTAAAGAATAATTAGAAAGTGATAAGCTAATACATTAGCGGACTATTTTGGAAACGCAGCTATTGAAGAGAAAAATCCAGTACCCGGTTAGAAAACTCTCAATGATTGTTAGAGTAACAATGAAAAACATAGCCAACACACAGTTGGAAAAGAGTCAATGAACGCAAGTAAATAGAAAAAAATACAGACTTGTTTTTTGAAAAAACAACAACTAATTTCGAATTTTAAAGAAAAATAGATACCCTTAAAGCTCTAAGAACTTCAAGAACAAGTTATGCTTGACACTTTTTAGATAAAATTAACCCAATTGGAAAAAAAACAGGACCAATAGATGAAATTTATGTTTCGCTGGGCAATTCGATAATTGAATTCCACTTTTGGAACTAGAAACTGATCACGTTTTTCGTGACCTTTACGCTTTCCCTGTTCGATAGTGCGCTCATCGATAGCAGAGTTTGCCTTCCTTTCAACAAAAAAAGAACTTAAAAATAAATCAAAAGTCAACACAGAGGCGAAGACGCGCTTCGCAAACACAAGCGAGAAAAATGCAAAAAAGAGCTCTGAACAGAAAAAATGGAAAATAAGGAAAAGATTAAAACTACACCTTCAAAAGTTTTTTGAGGAGAATAGGAGTATCACATGATCGGTCTGCTCACCGACTGCTAGTAATTTTACCGATACCAGTCACCAATAAAGGAGCTACAGTTTCTATCAAATTGCCAATGTTACACAGCAAAAATTCGACCAAAAAAAGGAAAATTGAAATGGTTAGGAGTTGAAAATCCGACCCGTTGATAAGGAATCTTACGTGCAAGAATTTCCACAACGATAGCTTCGAAAGAAACTAGTAGACCAGCTAACGATGGATCTACTTGTTCTAATATATTTAATTGTATATTGTACTTATAAGGAAATATGTGCCTTTCAAAATTAAAAAAAAAAGGACTTAACGCCAAACCCTAGATTAACTGCTTTTTTAAAAAAGAAAAGTACTACTCGCTCTTTCAATTGAAGTCCTTATCTCAGATTTGGCTGGGTAGTTTTAAACAAGTGAATCGATCAAAAAAATCAAAAATATGGCTTTTCCTAAATCTATAAAAATTTCTCTTAAAAAGCATGGCAATTAATTTTTAGATCGAAGATTTATATAACCTAAATTTTGAGACTCAACCCTTAAAATCATATTTAGCTAGTAGCTTTCGAAAACAGAGACCAAATTTCTATACAAAAAACGGTAAAAATTTAAAAACGATTTCTTCCGAAGTCCATATCAACTTTTCTACAAAAAACAGGGTAAAACAGATTAAGCTGAAAAAATTCAAGCACAGCGTTAGTTTTGATCAGCAGCACATTAATTTCTGAAAAAAAAAAAGAATTATTTGGAATAAAGGCAAAATTTCAAAAATTGGGGACATTTCCTGAGGCCATTTTTTCAAAACTCAGGTGACAGCCGCTTGCGCAGGTAACTTTTACATAACTGATTTCTTTTTTCGGTTAAACCCTTAATCTCCAATTTAGCAGGGTAGTTTTTTGAAAAAATTAAAATTTAAATAAAAAATAACCCAAATGTCAAAAAATGGCATTGTTTGAGGCCATAACTTTTTTTGTACCAAACTAAAGGATTAGCCGCTTGAGAAAAGAAATCGCCATAAACTGTTTTTTTTTCGATTGAAACCTTTATCTCAGAATCGCGCATTTAATATTTGAGAAAATGAAAAAATCAAACAAATAGGCCAAAAACCCCCTTTTTAAATTTTTGAAGGCCGTAAAACGTGAGGTAAAAAAAAAGACTAGCGAAATATGCAGACACATAGATGAGCAGCCTTGTTTTTCCATTGGTACTATTTTTTTAAAATCGGCTCAGGATTTTCGAGAAAAGTTGTTATTTCTGAGATAAATCTTTCGAAAGCGTCACCAAAAAAAAACGAAAAACCACAAATCCTATACATTTCCATAATTCATTTTTTTTCAAACAGAACCTAACAATAGCCAACAAGAAGCTAACAAGAACATATGCCATTAAATGGTTTCTGCTTCAATAAGCTTAAATATGGTTAAATTGAAATATACCAAAAGAGCCAAAAAATAAACACTTTTATTTGCGACTTCGGTTAGAGTAGAAACCTTCAGAATAATACACTACGCTTCGTTGTGTAAGCAAACTGCAATAAAGTAAATTTGAACGTGAACAAAATTTAAATTTTGCCAAAAAAAGAGGAAAAATAATGACCATCTATATAACAGTCTGAACTACGTTCATCGACTCTTTAAAAAACGGCACACATTGAAAAGCAACAGAAATCTATCATAGTACAACCAATTTTAAATGTTCTACAAAAATCTTATTGTGAGGAAGTTTCAGCTTAATTTTTCAGATAAATTCATATTCGCAGAATTAAAGTTGCATTTCGCACTCACAACCAGAAACATAGCCAACTGACAGTTGGAAAAGAGTAATGAACGCAAGGAAACTGAAAAAAAACCGACTTGTTCTTTTTTTCAAAAATCTTCAATTTGTGAAATTTGAAGAAAAAAATAGATGGTCTTAAAGCGCTTTGAATTTGTACAACAATTTTGGATTGAGACTTTTTTGTTAAAATAAACCAATTTGAGAAAACTGGATCAATTAGGTAAAACTTTTATTTCGCTGAGAAATCTGATAATTAATTTCCATTTTCAAAATAAGAAGTCGATGACGTTTTTCCTGGCCTTTACAATTTTGCTGTTCAATAGTGGAGTTTGCCTTCCTTTTAACAAAAAAGTGCACAATCACAACTCAAACCGCAAAAATCAAAATGAGCATGAACAAATTTTCCTGGAAAAAAAATCAGCAAGACCTATATAAGAGTCTTCACTACTTTCGTTACTCTTAAAAAGCAAGAAATCGTTAATAACTGCTTTGGAAACTCCACATTAGGTTTTCTCGCACCCAGGTTAAAATGTCTCCTTAAATTTATCCAGTCTAGGTTAAAGTTTTCCAGTCTATATTCGGATTAACGCATTGGAGCAAGTTTCAGACGTAAAAAATTTTCGAACAAAAACTACCGAAATAAGTGTGACACTTAATAGGGCATATTTATGTTACCTATGAATATACTGTATAACTAAAATATCAATTAAAAGATGCTTAGACTAAATTGTCAGTTTTTTTTTATTTTAGTAGGGTTTTGGAATGGATTTACCGTGGCAGAATCTTGAGAGATCTTCCCTCGGAGCTTAGCCTCAAAAAAGTATCAACAATGTAAGAATTACAAATTTAATGTGTTGTAAGCACCTCGAGATACAAAAAACTATCCGTGCAAATCGGCTTTGTCGACCATAAAATTATCTTTGATCTTTTCCCAATTTCATTGTTTTAAACGAGTTCAAAATTACGGCGATATATTTGTACCACGATGCTTTAACCAATTAAACAAAAAAACTTAAGAATAATGCGTGTCGAATAATACCTTGGTAGACTCCTCGACCTTGTGCCCTTTGACAGTACTCCACGGTGACGAGACGTTTACTCCACTTGCTGCCTTCACGTCTAAAAAATAGTTTGTGATCAATTTAAATAGTTTCATTACTGTAGAGTTGGCACATAATAGCAATGATTTATGTAAAAGATAGAAAAAGTGCCACGCAGATGTATGGCATCAAGGTTAGTGCACTGTGTTGAATCGGAAGAGTGTTTTTCTACTGTTATTACTCTCCTAACGTATATCCCGCCTCCCAAATTTATCATCAAACTTTGCCCTTTAAATTGGCACTCTCATCCTTCCAACAACAAAAGCCCAATTGCGTCGCAGAATTCTAATTAAATCTATCGTTTTCCCGAATAGTCAGAGCTGCAAACCTACAAAAAATGATATCTTTTTATTCTCCAATTTGGCTTTGAGAAATCTCTTACAGGTCTTTTTGAATCTACTAAATTAGTTACTGGAAACACTCATAGCAGTAAGAGCAGTTTCCTCGCTTCAACCGTAGAAATAGAGAGTAGGAAAGTAAAGTTTGATAAGGATAAGGAGTAGATTGACTAAAATAAGCTTAAAACACTATATTATACCATGCTCCAATAGGACATTAATGAATTACATGAAAACAGTCAAACAAGCAAATCAAAAATTGGATTTAGAGTTAGAAACTTACAATAGGAACTGTCGCTTTACAAAGAAATAGTCAGTACTGAAAATCATTTCCATTTCAAACCAAATCAAATCTTTCTAGCAGTTAACAAACCTAAACTTTTTCTATGAGAAACAACCCGGATAATTAAATGCTGAAGTACATTTAGGAAAAAATCCTCTTTTTTGTTTGTAAAAACACAACTTTATTTGTTAACGATATAGAATCAGGTAAAAGGGAAAATTAAGTCTCACCATTGGATCCAGAAACACTTTCATTGTTCTTAGATGCGTGTCCAGATGAATACTCCAAGTTTTCACGAGTATGGGCGCGGTACTTTCCAAGAAACACACTTGACGGCTTCGTTGATTGGGAGTCCGAATTCTGCTGACTCTAAAAAGCACAAAAAAATAAGATTTTCAGTAACTAATAACAAATTATACCGCGATTAGTGACAAATAGATGCAGTAGCACTAGAGCAGCAACCTTAAGGGATGAGAACACTCAGTACCTCGTACAATTTTGGTACCTGGTAAAAAAAAATGGCAACCAAAACCAAACCTTTATTTTGTTACTATCACTGAAAACAGAGAAGTCAGATATCAATTGTTTGAAGCTTAATTTTCTCGTTCATACGAATAAATGCCAAAAAATAAACTTACCAAATTAAAGTTGGTCTAATACTATGAAAATTTAAGAAAATTGAATGCAAGATAATTATAAAAATCAAATTAGTTTTATATTTGACCACACTAACCATTTTTTTGTCGAATCACGAAAATGGTCCGATAGCATTAAAATCTGAAAATAACTTTGGAGAAATCAATCAGACACATTCGGATACCATTAATAAGCGTTTATGAACACAGCAAACTAAGTGGCAAAAACTGCTTTTACATGACTACGATCCGATCAAATTCACAATAATCAAACACTGATAAACCTCAGACGATTTCACTTCTCAGAGATCAAACGGACATTAAATCATACAAGCTTTCAGGTCGGGTTGAAACTTAATGATAAAAAAAAATGATTCCATTTTCAAAAAACAACAGAATTTAGAACTTCACAAAACCAATCATTGTCTCACCTGTAAAACCAAACTGTCCGAAGTTAGACCCTGTTATTTAAACAGAAATTTTCGCATAAAAATTTTGAGAAACTTTGCGAGTTGTCGCTTTCCTTAATTTAGCCTAATTGTTGTAATAAAATTATTAAATAGAATCTTTCTTTGTTCAAATTTACCGCTCGTGTGTTTTCATATCATATGCGCGCTGGGCTTTCCTCTTCTGGTTATCTTACCAAATCTTACCGTAGGCGAGTGAAGTTACCCTGGCGTAACTAGACGCAAGAAGGAGTGAGCTGGTGAATCGACCTCCAAATCGACGTCAGGTTGTACCACTCCTTTCTTCTTTTTCATCGCCCTTGAGCAATTTTAAACCCTAAGTGAAAGTATCCATAAATCACCCCAAAGAGCTTCCTTTCTCGCCCCAGTTGTCTGTGTTTCAGGTTGATGCCGCGATTCCAGGCAAGACGCATCCCTGAGTTCTCACAGAAACTAGTTATCGGGACTTCAAGGACCAAATATATCAGACCAGCTCTAGTAAAATCAACAATTCTTTCCTACCGCGGCGCAACGCTTCATGGTCTGTTTGAAACAGTTTTACAATACAGACCAAAGCGCCTATATACAGTAACAATAGTTGCTGGATATAATGACAACAGGCTGCATCCACAAGAATTAGAACAGCAGTGGAAAAACTTGACTAACCTCGTCACTAACAAGTTTCAGCCCAAGACACTGATCATCCCCAAAACAATTCAGAACCGTAATAATTCCGAAGTAAACCGCAAAATTTCTATTCATAATCATGTGCTGTTTAACTTGATAAATAGATTTGTACACCCCCATTTACTTATTGTTTCACCTAACCTCAACCTAAATCGAACCCCTCAAATGTTCTGCCGTGATGGCATTCATTTCTCGTTCTACGGTAATGATTTCTTTACAAATTTTCTTGCAAATTTAATCTATAAATTCTCTCGCTAACTTGACACCGCCGTCCTTCCCAAAATGGCTACTCAAACACACTTCCTTATTACTAAAAGCAGCCTGCGAGGCGGAGGTGTTTGGTGCTTCACATGCCCAGGCTACATGCATAAAAAATGCAGCGGCCTAGCCCGCAGCAGTGATCATTATGACGATTTCAGTTGTCATCGCTGCACCTCCCAATTTCATTCAGGTAACGACAATCATGAATGCAATCCCCCAACCCTAGCTACAACCACGCTCCTCCGAATGCACCCTCACCCTTCCACTGCCCCACACTCACAAAACTCAGGAGAGTCTTTCACTATAGAACCTAGAACAATACAAGACCCATGGTCAAATCCCTGTCCAGAACTCATAGAAACCACCAGGAAATTATACGCCGAAGTGGTACACTGGAAACCGGTCTTTATGATATTGTCAAAAAATAAAGTTGGTTATAACTTCATTGAAGTCCTCAGTAGAACTTTGAGTAACCTAATAGAAAACAACAAAAATACGTTCGCAATGCACGCAGCAATAATTTTTCCTCACTTATTACTGTGCAAAACAAAGTCCGAAATTGATGGATTTTTATCAACAACAATAGCAAGGCGAGTTAAGCAATGGCAAGACGGAGACCTGGATGGACTATATAACGAAGGAAAGGCGCTGCAAATGCGCTTGTTGAAAGGAAGTAGAAGAAAAACTGAAACTGAAGCACAACAGTTCAACAAACTAATGAATACTGGAAAAATATCAAGCTCAATTCCAAAACTAAGAGACACATCTAAAGGCGTTCTTTCGCGCGACGAGATTGTCAAAGGTAAGACAGTAGAACAGACTCTCATAGAGAAACACCCAACATCTAAACCAATTGATGAGAACTATATTACACCAGTCTCAAACGAAACAACTCTTTTCCATCCATCGATATTTGATCAGATAAACGGCCAACATATCAAGAAGGCAGCCATGAGAACGCACGGATCGCATGGACCAACTGGCCTCGATGCAAATGAATGGAGACGTATTTTAACACACTTCGGGCAATAATCGGTTGAGATTTCAAAAACAATTGCTAAAATTGTCAAAAAAATTGGCCACCGAAGAACTAAATCCAGAACTAGTGGAACCATATAACGCATGCAGATTAATACCCTTAGATAAGAATCCAGGGGTAAGACCCATAGGCATAGGAGAAGTTATGCGTAGGATAAAAAGGCGAACAATAAATAAATGCCTAAAAAACGAACTAATGTCGCTCGGTTCAAACTACCAACTCTGCCTAGGACAAAAACGTGGCATTGAATATGCAATCCACACGGTAAGAGATCAATTCAGCAAAACTTTAGCCAATGCTGTTTTACTGATAGATGCCAAAAACGCTTTCAACTCGTTGAACCGAAAGCTGGTAATAAAAACATCCTGCCCTTCCTTTTTAACAGCAATTAAGAACTCCTACTCCAATCCATCTAAACTATTCTTTAACAAAAAAACAATCTACTCTCAAGAAGGGACAACCCAGGGGGATCCAATAGCAATGGCCATGTACGGTCTAGCCATTATACCCCTCATAAAACTTTAATCAGTAGACGATGTAACCCAGAAATGGTACGCAGACGACGGAAACGCAGTCGGCAAATTAAGCAATCTACGAACTGTCCTCGATAAAATTGTATCACTGGGTATATTTTTCGGCTACCATGTGAAAGCATCCAAATGCCAACTCATTGTCAAGGATAAAAAACTCGGTGAAGCTCAAAAAATCTTCGCAAATACAGGAATCACTATAAAGCAGGAGCCCGAGTGCTTGGTTCAGTTATAGGAACAGAATCTGAATGTAAAAAGTTCCTCGAATTTCAACAGAATGAGCAATTCAAAATTTTGAAAAAAACTAACGAAAATCGCCAAAACCTCCTCTCAAAACGTTTATGCCTGCTATACTAAAGGAGTTCAAAAAAAGCTTTCATTTCTTGCCAGGACAACGCCTAACACTATGGAAAACTTGAAAATATGTAAAAATATTGTCAAAGACCAATTATTACCTAACCTAGTCGGTAACGACACTTTAAACACCCAATTCCGTGAGATATCTTCCTTACCCCTTAAAACGGACGAACTTAACATCAAGCTGTCACCCGATCATGAAAGCTACCTAGAATGGTCTAAGGAAACATCACTAGTACTGGAATCTCAAGATCCTATTACAGCAGAAACACAGCAAGAAAAAATATGTACGAAAATCAAAAAACTGAAAACTGATAGAAAAAATTGAAAAAAAAACAAACCTCATTAACTCCTTAAATGAAACAGATAAATACGCAATCGACCTGGCCTCTGAAAAGGGAGCCTCAAACTGGCTCAATGCTCTGCCACTGAGCAGATACAACTTCAACCTGAATAAATCAGAGTTCAGAGATGGTATTTACTTAAGATACGGATGGGAACCAACCAAAACACCACTCACATGTGCGTGTGGTGCTGATTTTAACTTGACACATGCGCTTCACTGTGCAAAGGGTGGTTACACACACATAAGACACAATGAAATTAGAGACACATTCGCCAACCTCATGAACGAGGTTTGCCATGACATCGAGATTGAGCCGAAACTTCAGCCGTTGCAAGGCGAAAGCTTTGTCAACAATTCAACTACAACTGAAGATGAGGCACGACTTGACATTAAGGCAAACGGACTCTGGGGTTCACGATTCAGCCGCGCTTTCTTTGATGTGAAAATTTTCAATCCCCATGCCAAAACATTGCAAAAACTGCATAAGGATGCATACAAATACCACAAAACGCTGATGAACTCCAAATATCAGCAAAGAATTTTAAATGTAGAGCAGAGTAGCTTCTGGCCGCTAATTTTTGGATGCACCGGTGGCGCTGCTCCAACAGCCACGCGGAAGATGCAGCGATTAGCCGAAAAACTAAGTGAATAAAGACAAGAAAGCTATCCAGAATCTATAAACTACATAAGAACTAAAATAAACTTCGCGCTCCTGAGGAGCTCTATACTTGGTATAAGAGGGTGCAGATCGCTACGCAAAGTTCAATTTATCGACAACTCCATAAGCGCTTTTGTAGAGGAAGGACGGCTAAGATAAATTAACATGACGACGATGCATTTAAAGCTGATTTTTGACTTCATTACTGATATATATGCATTTTTATATCGCTGGTATGGTCCTAACCAGCTTGTGCACTTACCGTAACTAAACGGAAGGGCGGCCCCTTTTGTAATTTATTATG